AGTATTCATTTATTTTTTACAGTGCAGGGAGCAAAGTGCAAATCATGGGGATTAGTTTTCGTAAATATTCACACGTCCCAGGCGAGAGATCTTGGTGGAGCCATGAAAGGCATTCACAGAAACTTGGTCTAGGCAACAACAAGCACCCTGAGTACAAGTACAGACCAGACACATTTCCCACTTTCACTAATTGTCAATTCTGTGTCTCAATCGGAGGAAAACAAAAACCGCACACTGGAAACTGGAGCAACTCAACCTAACAGAGGGGGAAAGGGGAAAGGGGAAAAGGGGAAAAGGGGAAAAGGGGAAAAGTGGCCCGAGTGATAAGTAAGTGATCGCTTTTCTCAACGCCCTCGCGAGATGAAGAGGGGATTATACTATAATGCATTTGTAATCTCTCAGTTTCTAGGGGAGGGGTGGGCCTTAAGATCTTAAATTCCGACTTCAGATTGCTTACAGTTTCGAATAAGACTCACTTACCAAAATACTGTACTATAAAGACAGATTTGCCATGACAATGGGTTTAATTTTTTCTTATCGGAGCTCAGAATGAATCACCGTAATTTCACGATCTGTATTTCACGAATGTGAAATAATGAGATATACAAAAGAAAAAATCGAAATATGACGAAATTTGGTTTTCCATTACGTTACAAGCGTTTTTTTAATATTATTTCCAACGAATTAAACTAAATAGCGTTAAAATAAATAATAGATGGGTAAGGCAATCCCAACACTTTTTTTGTAATGGTATGTAGGTACAAGCGTTCTATCTTAAAATTGTTGATAAAAAAAAGTAAAAAAAATAACATCTCTTATACTGCTGACTAAGCCCAACTTTAAGCAAGTTTATATAAAAAAGGAGCCTACATTATTTCACCACTTTTCGTTATTCAATTAAATACCAATGAATAATTTTTTTTAGGGAATAATTTTTTTTTGGGATCTTGCTATTAGTGATATCATTAGAGCTCTGTATAAATATGTACATATGTATATTTAGAGCAAATGGCGTACAGGCAAGACAAAGACAAATGCAGATAACAACGAGATCGGAAGAATCAAGTCAATGTGAATCCATAGTCTCTACTCAAGCCCCCTATATGACTCACAATAGTCCAAATATTAAAGCTACCGATTCGTATTGCTAGTCAAGACCCCCTTATGACTCACAATAGTACAAACATTTAACCTTCATCGCACCGCATCGTATTCCTAATCGCTTTGAATGGGAACAAGTATGCTTAGGTGTTATGAGATTGTTATGTTTCTATTACAATTTCCAACCCGAATATTGAATTTTTTACGCAGAAAATGCCGATGAACAAATTATAAATATTGGAAGGGGCAAAAAAAGGTGAGGAACTAAAAATTCAGATCAGGCGACACATATGCAAACTAGCGATCGTGGGTGTCGACAAGAAACTCGAAAGTCAAACAAGGCTAGGAGGATTTTAAAAGGGGAGGGGAGATTTGTAAGGAAGTTGGGGAGTGGGTGGAGAGGAGGAGAGGGATAGTGGCTGTCGCATATTTGCGCTTGGTGTGGACTGAAAAGAGAATACACAGCTAAAAAGTATCTGCAGACCTATTATAGATCATTGGCCTGGTGTGAAGTCAGCTGCGCCCACAGGCCACGCCCCTTTTTTGCAAGGCGGGAGCATTGAAGTGTTACACTACAAAGTGTGAAAAAGGAAACCAAGCCGATAACATGGATTTAATATTACCCTACCAATTAAGTTTAATCTACCTGAACAACAATAGTTTTAAAACTGATAAGCATTAAGATTCTTAACCGTCTTTGCGAATCCAATAATTAAACTTAATTTTTTAAGGAAATACCTAATTGTTCTGAAACAATTTAACTATTCAGATTTTATAAATATCTAAAGTTTGTATATGTTTAATAACTACATACAATCAGTTTTATTAAACTCAAATAATTATGGGAGCACATTTCTTGGAATTTACTTTTATAAATTGAAATATTTTCCAAGAATTTTAAGTTCAAACTTTGCAATAGTTGTCTTGCGCAAGTATTTTCTTGGAAAAGGGTAAACAATTTTTGTCAGCCCGACTGATTGACGGTAGCGCTGAAAGCTGCTGTCCATCATCAACACCAGAAACTGCGTATCGAGTGGGGAGAACAGTCTCATTCTCAGCCGAGAATTCCCGACTTAGAACCGAGAAATGAAACGCAAGTGCATGGATGCAAATCTTGCGGGCTTTCTTCGCTCACTTGACAGAGATCATTAATAAGATTTATGCGCTATTAGCAGAACCAGCCACAGGCCATAAATAAGACGAAACCGCCGGGGATTCGAGCACATCTCCAACGAAAAACCTGTTGACAGGCAAACCAACTTCTGCAGCTGATTCGCGTCGTTCACATATAGATTTGCATATGAAAACAAAATAAAAGCCAGTTTAAGGGATCATTTTGATAAGCGCACTTGTAATTAGCACGTAAATTATGCGTACAAAGTTGACACCTGACTTTAAAATCTCTAAAATCTACAATGTTTGACAAAAAAAGCACAAACGTTTCCAAAGGGCTTTATTTATGAAAATAAGTATAATTTATTTAAATATATTTAAATAAAATATTTTAAATGGATACCTAATTTTATTGCACCTCAATCAAAAAAACAATTTTTTCCGAAAAACTTGGTTCAATAGGCGTGGCTTCCATAATTTATTCTTTCAAAATTCATAATTGACATAAGGTACAAGAACATTTTTGTAAGAAATGTTTTTCTATTAATACGTAAGAAATTTTGAGGTCCCAATATTAAGATCAATTCATTCGTCGGTATACATTTGTCTAAAACTTACAGCTTGTAAATTATAAATATAACAATAAGAAAATAATTTAATCAAACAATTGTGTATTCTTTCATATTTCACATGTATGTAAATAAATTTCCTACCGCTTAATTTTGCTGCTATTTAGCTTTGTTCGAATTATGGAAGTTTAACTGTAATGTTAGGATGAAATCGGGTCATTATTACTAAGACATCTTTTTTATCTCCTAGATTACTTATACATATATATTTCCTCAATGGGCTTAATAATTTCGGCAATGAGTCATCCATAGTTTTGTTTCCTTTTATATTTCACATGCATGCTTTGTTCGAATTATGGAAGTTTTACTGCAATTTTAGGGCAAAATCGAGTCATTATTACATACTAAGTCATATACGTAAGAGTTTTATTAATTTCGGCAATGAGTCATCCATGGTTGTTTTTTCTTTTATATTTCACATGCATGTAGTCGTTTAATGGTGCTGCTATTTAGCTTTGTTCGAATTATGGAAGTTTGACCGTAATGTTATCTCTTATATATATTTTCTTAATGAGCTTAATATAAAAAAAATGTTATAAGTATGATTTATTTTATTAGTTTCGACAATGAGTCATCATTTATAAAATAGAAAAAACCAAAATAATAGGTTTAGCTATTATTTTAGAAATGATTTAATGCTGAATGGAACATGAAAAAGCAATCATGCCAATGGAAGCAACGTGTTATAGTCCTGCAATTGTATAACTGAAATTGTTAAGCATGTTAAATATATTCAAAAGGACACCTTTTCTTATGCTTCTGGAAAAAAAATCGAAAATTAGAACACAATTTTTGATATGCGAAATGCTATTATCAAACGAACCAATTCGCATATTAACATGCACCCCATAGCAGATCAATAATATATACATGTAAATACGTTGTCAAATTGTGAGCGGTTTGACGTCAGTTTTATTAACTGAAAACTTTTAAAACCACTTTTTTATAAACATATGCCTTTACATATTGACGTCTTAGTTTCTAAAAATAGATCTACTAAGCTATTGTCGCTTATGATTTATGTTGAAAAACTGTAATGTGCTCAGGTTAATCGGACAATTTATTATACCCTTGCAGACATCAGCATCTCCAGGAGCGTCGATCTAGATTTAAAGCTATCTGCTTGAAACCTTCCCAAAAGTTGTCCTTCTATTGCAGGTAGTACATAAGTCATAATGAGCCGGATCGTGCGACTATATAATATAGCTCCCATAGGAACAATCGGAAAAAAAGAATTCAAAATAATTATAACTTTGTTGTTTTTAATTATTTTTTTTTGTTCTTTGGGATTTCGAATTATTTAAATATTATGGAATTACTTTTTTAATTAAATTAAAATCGGACAACCATATCATATAGCTGCCATAGAAACGATGGCAAAATGCAGCCCAAAATCGACATAGCTTCATTGTTTTTAGTAATATAGGCATAGAAATCGAAATGTAGTAGATTTTTAACAACTGCAAGGGAATATGAAAATTCGGCTTGCCGAAGTTTGCTTCCTTTCTTGTTACCATTTATATTCAATGACTCACGCCTTTAAAGAGATCGCAAGTCAGTTTTTGCTCTTAAAAAAGAAAGCCACCGTTCACACCAATACCACCGTGAAAGGGAGGCATGCAAAGAGAATTCGGAAGCTCTCAAACAAATTAAAATAAAAATTTTTAGTGAACTTATAGAACAAGGTTCTGAATTAGGTTTAATTTATTTTCTTATAATATTTTTGAGTTTTCCAAATCAGAAGAAAGCTATTTTCAAAGCACTGATTTTTGACTTGAACTAAGTTAAATTAAAACTATTTCAATAAATTTCTCCCAATGTTCCCAAGTAGTTATAATTAAAATCAAGGTACTTGTTATTAAAAGTAAATTGAACTCGATTTGGGACCATAACGTATTTTAAAGAAATAATTTGTTCACAATATTTTATTCTATTATTTTTTTTATTTTTCCTGAAAAGTATAATTAAAACTACGTTTACGAATTGTTCTTTAAATAAATGAGAGCATACAACTCAAAATTATAAATTTTTTTCAAGTGTTTTCTCTCTGTAAACCTCGCGATCTGAAGAGAGTAAAAAGAGCGATGAGAGCTTTTCTTGAAGTCGTCGGCTGCTGCGGTACGTCGGCGTCAACGTTGATTTAGTTCGCCGGGAGACTTCGTCGAGATCACTTCGATCGCTTCGTTACGATCCAATCCAGATTCAAGTTAGATCCTTTGAAACCCAAATAGGTCTCAGTTTAATGAATCGGGAACCCAGTTCCGGAAAGTGCCAAAAGTGAAAAAAAATTCGGTGGAAAATTTGTGTTAAAAGGTGATCATTTAGAAATTTTTGTTCGACAAAAATATTAATTGCAAATCGTTCGGACAGCTAAATTAATTTGCATAAGTATTACAGCGCGTACGAAATTGATTAATTCGGCAAAAGCAATTTAATTTCACAATTGGCTGCAAACAGCTTCGCGGAACTTTAAAATTATTTTCTGCAACTGGTGAACATAAATATTACAATTAACAAATTTGTTAATTGAAACAAATTCTTCTTTGAAAATAATTGAAATGCCAATAATAATTATTAAAAAAAATATTATAACAGCTGCTCGAACAGAATTTTATTTATTGTTGGCAAGCAGACTGAAAACTAATTTATAGTAAATAAAAAAACTTTTGAGTAAAAAGTTGTTGCAGGCTTTTCATTCGACAATTTGCCAATTTTGTGCAGCTGTGCGTTGGCGTGTGCCAAAAGTAAAACATTACGCTGCCAAAAATATTTAACAACTTGTTAGAACTAAAATAGTTGGCACATTTAAGATAATTAAATTAAATTACGGGTGCCAAACTCACAGCATAAAAAATAAAATTTTAATATACAAACTAAAGAAAAAGCAAAAAAGGCCCTTTAAACAAATTCAAATAGAAAATAAAAAAACATTCTCTTTAAAAAAAAAAACTGACAAATAGTGAATTTAAGATTGAAAAACCATTCCCAGGAAATCTAATTGGTTTCCATTTTATTTATTTTCAGAAAAGTGACGAATGAAAATTCAGTTAAAATAATCTTATCGCGTTCAGTATTCTAATCACACAAAGTGTAAACTAAAGAAAAATTATTTTATCTGCTGGAAAAACAATTTTAAAATGAATCTCCTAATTGTGTTGGCGATAATCGCCATCTCCTTCAAGGAGACGACAAATGCATATGCCAGTTTTCCGTTTCGCATAAATAATATTGATCTTGACGTGGGGAATTCGACCTTGCCCAGGACCACATCTCATCCGAACTCGTATCGTCCTCTCCTCCGATTCTCCCTCCCCCCGAGCGAATCATACCAGTTGGACAAGGAGCACCACGAGTACAAGGAGGAAGACACAGACTGGGAGGATTTTCACAAGCGCGTGCCACGTGATCACACTCGTAGTTCCAATGCCCCCAGGCTGGGTGACGATAATCACCTGCAATTCACAGATGCCGACGATGGGGTGAGTGTTTCATCTTTAATCTGGGGACCCACACGAAGGCAAACACTTCGCGGAACCCATAAAAATGTAGTCCTGTTGACTCGCTCCATTCCATTTCTTCTTCACGGCTCTTTGGAGCTGATTAAATATTTGTGCGTTGGTTATTTGTATACTGGCACTACAATAAAGATGAAATAGTAGGAAAAATCTAATTGAAGTTTGCTTTACAAAATGGGTACAAAATGATATAAATGATTTAAGATAAAAAGTCATAGAAATTATTGACTAAAATATCACATTTGTTCAGTTTTTGAAAATACATTTATTCATATTGGGTACGCAATTTTGTGTACACTATAATTTTCTAAAATATATATACCACAAGAATATAAACATATTCTAAACCTTTTTATTTTAGATGATTTTCTCAAAAAAATGTATTATAAATGTTTATATCAAATATTCTTGCAAATAGAAAAACGCTGCTCAAGATTAAATTTTAATTTTGGGAAATAACAAAAACTCAAATTTTTATTACTCAATTTACTCAATTTACTTAATACCATAAGAATATAAAAATATTCTAAACCTTTTTTTTATTTTAGATGATTTTCTCTCAAAAATGTATAGTAAATGTTCTTATCAATATTCTTGGGAATAGAATAGCGCTGTTCAAGATTAAATTTTAATTTTGGGAAATAATAAAAACCCATTTTTATTTATTATACCCTTGCAGAGGGTATTATAATTTCAGTCAAAAGTTTGCAACGCAGTGAAGGAGACATTTCCGACCCTATAAAGTATATATATTCTTGATCAGGATCACCTCCTGAGTTGATATAGCCATGTCCGTCTGTCCGTCTGTCCGTCTGTCCGTCCGTCCGTTTCTACGCAAACTAGTCCCTCAGTTTTAAAGCTATCTGCTCGAAACTTTCCCAAAAGTTGTCTTTCTATTGCAGGTAGTATATAAGTCGGAACGAGCCGGATCGGGCGACTATATCATATAGCTGCCATATAACTGAACGATCGGAAAAGCCATAACTTTGGTGTTTTTAAAGATAAGAAGATGGGACTTTCTATGGGTTTTATTTTTGGCCAAACAATCCGACATACCGAATTTCATAAGGATCGGCCGACTATATCTTATAGCTGCCATATAACTGATTGATCGGAAGTGCCATAACTTTGGTGTTTGTAAAGTTAAGAAGTTGGGATTTTCTATGGGTTTTATTTTTGGCCAATCAATCCGACATACCAAATTTCATAAGGATCGGCCGACTATATCTTATAGCTGCCATATAACTGAACGATTGGAAATGCCATAACTTTGATGTTTTTAAAGTTAGGAAGTTGGGATTTTTTATGAGTATTAAGAATGCATCATATAAATAATATTGGAGAATATAATTTACAGAGTATTCTGCAAGGGTATATCAACTTCGGCTCCGCCCGAAGTTAGCTTTCCTTTCTTGTTTAACAACTGAATTCGCTTTAATTATGATAAATGTTATTACCACTTAAAATTCGGTTTCATTTTATTAAATATTCTTATCAATTATTCTTGCGAATAGGACCGAGCTGTCAGAGATTAAATTAATAATTTGTGAAATTTATGTCATATTTGATTATTTCTGAAAGGGAATCTTTAATTTCGGTTTTAATAGTGTTCAAAGAAAATTCATTGTAAAAATGTATAATAAATGTTCTTATCAAATATTCTTGCGAATAGAATAGCGCTGTTCAACATTAAATTTTAATTTTGGGAAATAATAAAAAACCCAATTTTTAATTTAACAACTTAATTTGCTTTAATTATAATAAATATTATTACCACTTAAAATTCAATTCCATTTTATTATTATCAATTATTCTTGCGAATAGGACCGAGCTGTCAGAGATTAAATTAATAATTTCAAAAATTTATGTCATATTTGATTATTTCTGAAAGCGAATCTGTATTTTCGGTTTTAATAGTGTTCAAAGAAAATACATTAAAAGGAATATAAATTTTGGACAATTTACATTTGCATTTATTGTTTTTCGGCATGTGCGAGTCATTAAAATGTACGGGAATCTTTACTTTATATAAAGTAAAAAGTGTAATCTTTTAAAAATAAAAATTGTAATATCCGTGGTTAAATAATACTTTAGGTACAATCTCAAAAAATATGCAATTTTCGTGCTGAAAATAATGTATTTCATTTACTTGGACTAGGCCAGAGTTATTTTGTTTTGATTCCCCAATGTCTCTTCTGTAGCTGCAGTTGCTTGTTGCGCATTAGACTCGAAATGGTAATCAGAATCGGATCGGAATGAGATGGCTCACCTTGAACCCCGGGGCGTAAGTGAATCGGAGACGGGTGACTAACCCTGAGACTAGAAATCGCCACGATCTCCTAGCCACTCACCGATTGCAAGCCGAAGATCGGAAAGCCCACCCAAATGGCTGGGGATCGGAAAGAAGGAGTTACACAACTGCGGCAATTATGAAACGTGTTGTGGCAGGTAGGAGCCGGCAATTTGGTTAACAAGCCAATTTGGCGGTGCGCAAACGGGAGTCGGGCTTAAAGCCCAGATCCAGAAGAGAGATCCCGATCCCTGACCAACGATCGCTTTCAGTTTCACTTTCCGGCCTGTAATTGTGCCGCTCCGTTTAACTTCGGCGAAAAGGGGGATCTGCAGAAGAACCTGTCGCTGCTGTTGTTTTATTATCTCTGCTCGATGAACGACAGCTGGCCTACCATCACAAAAAGGCGAAAAAGTGGACGGGTCGTTAAAGGGATCTCAAAGAGATGACTTTCCGTTACGGTGGTTAATTGGCCTAATTGACTTGACAACTTGTAACTGTTGCCGCCCTTAAGAGGAAATCAATGGTACTCCAATAAGGGGGTTTTTCCGATGAGTAATTTAACTGATTTACATTGATTACTCATAATTGAGAAGGAACCTCGGATCTAAGAATCAATGAGTCAGCCCTAAAATTTATGTTTGACCTATAAAAGCTGTCACTTTAATGAAAAATCTTAAATGACAAGTTGATTGGTCTGCCTGCTGAGATGAAGACTTTTTTGTATTTAAACATAAGAGACTTTTTTCATTAGTAAACTTCTCTCTTAGTACTAAAAATATTCGTGGCTTAGGTCACTGTTTTTAAATAAAAAATGGTTTGGAAATGCCCGAATGTCCGCTCGAGTATAAATTACCACCCATACGTTCATTTGTATGTGCACAATTATACTAATTTAGCGCTGGAATTCCCCGAAACTGGCGACAGTCATTCTCGACCCGATTCAGCGATACAATTGCTTATCAATTCAAACAGCTACTGATTTTTTTCCGTCTCACAGTCTGTTTGCACCTTATCTCTTTCACTGGCAACTGTGTGATTCAATGCCATAGGTGGTGTTTTAATAAACTTTTACGGCATGTTGGGGGGAGGGGGGTACAAAGAGGGGGGAGTGGGAGTGGGTGGCTGATGCACTCAGGCGGCATAAAAAGCTTATGGTTTGTGGCCATGATTTCAGCTCCCTCATTTTCCATCTTTTTGACCGCTCAAAAGAGGAATTTAATATCTGCTCGTTTAATATCTGATGCTGAATTCACTACAGTCTGCTTTCCCCGCCCCCACGCAAATTTTCCACCCAACCATCGCCTTGGGAAAACGCTGCACTGGCTTCTCTTCTGAACTCCTCGCATACCATTCCATTTCACTCTGTTTACCTTTACCTTTGCCAGCTTATTTGCCATCACATTCCGTGCGCATAACTGCACTGAGATTATGAACAGGGAAAGGGTAACATATGTATGTTCATGTATATTATTATTTATTGGGTAATATTTTTTAAAAGAATTGTTCTTAAGAAACACCCACCCTTATTAAAAAAAAAAGTATTGAAATGAAAATAGCCGAGATCTACTCAGATATAGAAGCAAAACAAGCGCGAGGTCAATAAAAAGTAAATTTGCATATGTGCGATTAATATAACTTGATCTGGTCGTTAGCATCGCGTCCCATGTTTGTATAATCGCAATAGTTGAATGACTAGAAAACCCCTTTTATCTTCAAAGAGATTAGAATATAAGGCGGTTAAGTTCGGAAAATAAATAGTTGATGAAGATTCCCTAGAAAAGAAAGGAGAAGCGAGGGCGCACCATTAAAAACCACACGAGGCTTTGGTCGCCATTAGCACTTGAACTCAATGAGATAAGACGTTGAGACTTTAATAACTATTTCATTCGTGACTTTAACTTATGAAACACAGATCAAGAAACGTTATCTTTTTTTAAATACATAAAATACAAAAACCCGAACTATTTAACATTTTTTTGTTGAAGGCAGTTAGTGTGACTCACATGAATGTTAGACTGGATATCCAGTCGAGATTTACATTTGACTTTACTTTGTAAAACACATTGTTAATAATTATTCGCTTTATAAACAATGCACTTCGCAACTAAAGCCATTTCACTTTCGTTCCGTCGGCGAATAAAGGAATAAACACAAAGTTCTCCGCGCTCTATAAATCGTTATTCCCCATTAAATATATGTTGACCCCGTCTATTGCCACACAGAGTTGAATGATGAAATCTGTTGCCACGCACCCAAATGCATTTGGGGATAGTGTAAATGTCGGCGGGATTTCTGATTTATTGGCAATCTTAATGTAGCGAGTTTTCCAAAAGAAAAAATAAAGCTAATGACGGGCAAATCGGCTTATGACATAATAGCAACAGTTTTCGGGCGGTCTACGTAGTACACATATGCCAACGATCTGCTCATGATTTATAGTCAACCGACATCAGTATATAATGCGGAAGCTCTGAATATATATGACAAATCTATAAAGTTTTATATTATGAATTTCTAGGCGGCGAGACACAGGCTAATGAACGTGGAAAATTCAAAGACAAAATTGTCGCGTGTGGAAAGTGTAGAGAAACTTGTCGCCAGACCAATAAATTAAACGCAAAAAGTTCACGCTTTTCGGCTGCTGGCCATAATTAACTGGCCCCGACTGTGC